GTTCCTTAGGATTTAAAAATAATCTCTTACAAAGGAAAGAGTAATATGTGTTAATGGTCTGTTATTTCCAGCAGATGGCAATGTTTGGTGCAAAAAAGGACTTAGTATAACAACTGCAGAATGTCTAGGCTGTGTTTGTATTTAAAATCCAAACCTCATAGTGCGTATTTGAAAGTATGGGTCTTCTTTTTTTTTTTTTTTTTTTGAAATCTACAAATTTATTTATTTTTAAATTTTTTTTTATTAAGTCAAATACACATAGATGATGAGTACATTTATGCATATGTGGGGTACAATGTGTGGTTTTTTTTTATTAAATCGTAGCTGTGTACATTATTGCCATCATGGGGTACAATGTGCTGGTTTTACATAGAATTTGAAATGCTTTCATCAAACTGGTCAAATTAGCCTTCACAGCAAAAGTATGGTTCTTTTATTTATTTATTTATTTTTGTTTGTTTTTTGAGACAGCCTCAAGCTTATTGCCCTGGGTAGAGTGCTGTGGCATCACAGCTCACAGCAACCTCCAACTCCTGGGCTTAAGTGATTCTGTTGCCTTAGCCTCCTGAGTAGCTTGGACTACAGGTGCCTGGCTATTTTTTAATTGCAGTTGTCATTATTTGGCAGACCTGAGCTGGATTCGAACCCACTACCTCTGGTGTATGTGGCTGGTGCCTTAGCCGCTTGAGCTACAGGTGCCGAGCCAAGTATGGTTCTTTTTTAAAAGACTTGATATGAGTTAACTCAATGAAGGCAGTGGATACTGGCTGATAAAGAGATGGGTGCAAGTCAATTTTGACAAATTAAGTCACGTTTTACCATTGCAACAGTATTGTAATAGATGGCTGAGATAAATCCCTTCATGAAATATTTATCCTTTGATGTAGCAGTTCTATAAATTAGATTTTCTTATGGGTTTTTAAATAAAGTTCATTTTGAAACAGTTTCAGGCTTACAGAAGGATTGTGAGAACAGTGCAAAGAACTCCTTGAGTCCCTTTAACCAGATGTCCTGATTGTTATCATTTTACCTCGTTTGCTTGTTTTACCTTATTCAGTCTCTGTGTGTCCATTAACATTAGTTTTTCTCTGGGTCTTTTGAGAGCTAGATGTTGCCTGGTTACTCCTAAATACTTCTGAGTGTATTTCCCTAACACAAGGTCACTTTCCTACACAAATAGCATATAGCCCTTCAAATTAGGACTCAATATCGGTATATTACCCGCCAATTTACATCCGTCCATTCAAATTTCACCAGCTGGGCAACAATGTCACTCTCTCTCTTTCTGGTTTATAGTCCTGTCCAGGATAATGTGTTGCATTTAGTTTTTGGTCTCCTCCAATTCCTTCCTTCCCTCCCTTCCTCCTCCTTTCTTTTTCCTTCTCTTCTCTTCTCTTCTCTTCTCTTCTCTTCTCTTCTCTTCTCTTCTCTTCTCTTCTCTTCTCTTCTCTTCTCTTCTCTTGATGGAGTGTCACTCTGTCACCCTTGGTAGCATGTTGTGGCATCATATCTCACAGCACCTTAAATTCTTGGGCTCAAATGATCCTCTTTCCTCAGCCTCCCAAGTAGCTGGGACAATAGGCACCCACCACAATGTCCAGCTGGTTTTTTTATTTTAAGTAAAGACAGGGTCTTGCTCTTGCTCAAGCTGGTCTCAAACTCCTGAGCTCAGGCAATCCACTGTGCCTGGCTTCCTCCAATTTCATACTCTTTTCTTTTTCTTTTTGAGACAGAGCCTCAAGCTGTCCCCCTGGGGTAGAGTGCTGTGGCATCACAGCTTACAGCAACCTCCAACTCCTGGGCTCAAGCAAGTCTCCTGCCTCAGCCTCACAAGTAGCTGGGACCACAGGTACCCTCCACAATGCCTGGCTATTTTTTGGTTGCAGCCATCATTGTTGTTTGGTGGGCCCGGGCTGGATTCAAACCCACCACCTTAGGTGTATGTGACTGGCACCTTAGCCACTTGAGCCACAGGCGCCAAGCCCAATTTCATATTCTTGAAAAAAAATTTTTTTTTGAGACAGAGTCTCACTATGTTGCCCTGGGCAGAATGCTGTGGCGTCACAGCTCACAGCAACCTCAGACTCTTGGCCTTAGGTGATTCTCCTGCCTCAGCCTCCTAAGCAGCTGGGACTATAGGCACCCACCACAACGCCCAGCTATTTTTCTGTTGCATTTGTCATTGTTGCTTAGCTGGCCCAGGCTGGGTTCGAACTCGCCAGCCTCAGTGTATGTGGCTGGCACTGTAACCACTGTGCTACGGGCACCAAGCAAATATTCTTGAAATTTTTAAGGGCATAGAACTTACATTCAGTAGGACAGCTATCAATCTGAGTTTGGTGTTTCTTCATGAATAGACTCAGGCCACGTGTGGCAGGGACACCATGTAAGTGATCCATCACATCAGGAGGCACATGTGGTTAACATGTCCTGTCACTGGGAATGTTAACTGTGATTGTGTGGTCATCAGGTTTTAACTGAAATTCATTGCTGTATAAAACTCATTTAAATTAATATCTATTCACTTGGATTTTTTTTAAGCAATGTATAGTGTCTTTCTTCATATGCCTAAACTTCAGAAAAAATATCTAAGGATACCCAATTTTAAATAATAAGTCATTTCAAGCATGGCTTGGTCAATGGTCAATTTGGGTCAGTTTTTTTTTTTTTTTTTGCTAAGAGCATGGCATTGATTTGAGAGGTAATAATGCTGCATTAAAGGCTTAAGTGTTTATTGAGAATTATCATTTATGATCATATTTTGGAGATATCTTGAAAGAAAACTATTGACGAGTTGAATTTAATCACACATCAGCAGAAACAGCTTGATTCATAATTATATTTTCTTGTGTTTTATTCAGTACTGAAAACTACAGTATTTAAAATACATTTTTATAAGCTTGTAGCTACATCTCAAAATACTTAGCATATGAAATGTAAAATATTAAAGTATTTCCTAAGAAAACATGATTTAAGTTAAATAAGGTTTTATAATCAAATAAAATAGCCTAATATACCTATTTGCAGAGGGTAAAGTTGGTGGGTTGCAGCGAAGCAAGTTTAGTTTTCCATTAAGTAGTAATATTACTAATACTTGATATGTACATGTGGTGAGGACTTCAAACCATATAGAAAAAGTGTAAATACATTTCTCCTTTCCTTTACCCTCCAATTCCTACTCTCTCCCTCTAAAAATATAACCTTAGGCCTGAAACAGTGACTCATGCCTGTAATCCTAGCTCTTTGGGAGGCCAAGGCAGGTGGATTGCCTGAATTCAGGAGTTTGAGACCAGCCTGAGTAAGAATGAGACCCTGTCTCTACTAAAAGTATAAAAAAACTAGCCAGATGTGTGGTGGGTACCTGTAGTCCCAGCTACTTGGGAGGCTGAGCAAGAGGATTGCTTGAGCCCAAGAGTCTGAGGTTGCTGTGAGCTATGATGCCACGTCTCTCTACCCAGGGTGACTGAGTGAGTCTGTCTCAAAATAAATAAATAACAAAAGTATAACCTTATCTCTTCTTATTTTCCTTGCAGAAAAATGTTTGAGTCTATAAGATATCATTTTCTTTGGGATAAATGGAATCTTATTATGCATACTTTTCACCTTTTTTAAATTAAATGATAGCTGTGTACATTAATGCAAACATGGGGTACAGTGTAGTGTTTTCATATACAATTTGAAATATTTTCATCAAACTGGTTAACATAGACTTTGTGTCATTTACTTAGTTATTGTGTTAAAACATTTATACTCTAGTTCTAGAAAAATTCACTTGTACCCTTGTTAGACAGACCATATAGGTGATCTTTCCAGTAACCCTCCCACCACCCATCAGTCCTTCTCCCCACCTCTCCCCCACCCTCTCCCCATATTCTTGGGCTAGAATTAGGTTGTAGCTTTCATTTGAGAACTATACTTTTCACCTTTCTTTTTTCACTTGTGCAATTTCATAGATGTACCATCACCTATAGATGCATACCATTTCTTTTAATAAGTATGTAGTACAGTAGAACCTTCATAAGTTGACCACCCAAAGAACTGTAGCAAATTGGTCAACATATGGAGGTAGTCACCATAAGGAACGAGGCCTACGGTACTGATACATATTTGTGGTGCATGTCTGGTCTATGAAAATTAGGGCAACTTAAGGAGGTGGTCAGTGTAGGGAAGTGGTCAGCTATGGAGGCTCTACTGTATTTCCTTGTATGGATTACAGTAGTTTATTCTCATTGTGGTGGACTTTTTTTGTAGTTTCTAGGTTTTAAATTTATAAACGAACCTAAAGTGACTCTCATTATGTGCATCTTTATGTACCTTTACAAGTATCATATGAAGTTGCAATAAACATGGAAATGTGGTTAGGACAAAAGGGACAAAAGAAAATAAGTATGACGTGGATTTAGAGTCACAGAAAAATAACACCAAAAAGGTGCTATTTCTGATGAATAGCAGTGAGCTAAAATTATTTTCTTCTTAGTCCGTTTTGAAATGATATAGAAATCCAGTATATGAAAATAAGATAAAAATGTCAAGGTAGGCCATGGTGGCTCACATCTGTAATTCTAGCACTTTGGGAAGGTAAGGTGGGAAGATTACTTGAGGGTAGAAGTTCAAGACCAGCCTGGACAACATAATGAGACTCCATCTACAACAAATAGGAAAAACAGCTAGATGTGAAAAATATAGAAAAATACAAAAAAAAAAAATAGCTGTAGTTCAAGCTACTTGACAGGCTCTGAGGCAGGAGGCTCACTTAAGCCCAGAAGTTTGAGGTTGCAGTGAACTATGATGATGCGACTGCACTCTAGACATGTGACAGAGTGAGATCCTGTCTGCCCCCCCCCAAAAGTCAAGGTAGATCACAGGATTCACATGAGTTCATGAAGTTAGAAGTAAAGAAATAGAGAAAGCATGTGCAAAATAGTTTTTATCTGTTTCAGGAATATAAGCAGCAAAAGGTCAGTTGAAGTTTGGTCATATGATTTGTATTTTTGTTTTAGGAAAACAAAAATATCAAGTGGGCCTCTCGATGGGATTATGTTTTGGAGTCTATGCCTGATACCAACATTCAGTGGATTAGGTAAGCTCTTCCTGAAATAAAGTAGCTTCAGAGTGGGAAATGTAAGTGTACGTGTATATAATATTTTATATATATATATATATAT